AAAAAAAAACAAAAAAGAACAAAAAAACAAAAAAAAAACAAAAAAGGATAAAAAAAGCAAAAAAAGTGAGATGCTAAATCCTTTTAACAACCTCCTCGACGGTCCTGGGTTCGGCTGATGTCAAGGGTAATTCACGCAAAAGATAAATCAGCGGGTCAAACTACGATAAAAATGATATATCTGGTAAAAGTAGCAAAAAGTCATGAATTGAGTTACTTTTACCCATAAATGATATAGCTTATCAGAATAACACTGTTTAAATGTGGCATAAAACTTGAGTGTGCGAGGACAAAGATTTTCCAAAAAATGAAAAAAATAGTCATTTTCTTATAGCTCTAGTCGGTCATGGGTGCGAGATAGTATAAAATGGATCTCGGAATCATATTCAGCGACCCCGAAAACATAGGAAAACACATTCTGTTCACGTTTAATGCATTATCAGGCGTCAGTAGAGCATTTATTTATAGGACAAAGATTTGTGATTTTCCGGCAGTTTGGGCCAAGTCCAAAAAAACAAAGATCTTTGTTCTCGGCAGTGAAGGGGTTAAGTAATCAAATATTACAAGATTTTTATTATAAATTTCTACTGTGCACTATAAGATATTCAACTTATGATATCATTGATTAACATAAGAGCCTCTTCTATGGATTTTTAAACATGTTTGGTTTTAAAGAGACTCAATTACTTATGTGCCTGTCTAGTACATAAACATATATACTTGCCAGACTCATTATGTATGTAGAAAATTGATTATACATGAGTCCACAATATATTACGAGGATAATATGTTATGTACTATGTGTAATCAATTCTCTCATACTTTGATCGCGTGTGATTAGACGCGGACGACTCCTCCACCTCGTCACGCCTCGGGGCGGATTATCGCCTCGGGATAATGACGATGGAAATCATGTCATGGATGTTACAGAGGAATGCACTCGCGAGGCGCGACGGTACCGCAGTGCTCGAAGAAATGACTTCTGCGTTTCCACAGGGGCGGCAAGGTTGCGACAAGTCACAAATTTTCTCTTCTACTGCGAAGTTCCGTTTTGTAAGCCGCGCCGCGATGACGAAATATTCTTTATCGCGTCCGTAAACGTCGATACCGGTAGAAGGTATCGTCAGTTTTTCTTCGCGTCCACTTCCCGGACCAGGAAATATCTCCATTGCGACGCAGAAATCATGCTCTACGATGGCGAGACCGTGTGTAGTCTTGAATTCGCTAATTTTCCAGATTAAATCACACATCACTGTATAAAACTAATTAACTGTGAATATTACTATTTGAACGAATAACTCAATTAATTGAGTCCCTCTCGCTTCTTTTCAGGTTCTCAAGCCCGCTCTCTTTCTCCTCGACGTCGGCGCTTAGAAGGAAAGTTCACAGCCTGAGGACAGCGTAAAAGGAAAAGTATCATAGAAAGCATCGCGAGTGCTCTGCTAAACGCTCTCTTAATATATTCAGACATTGCTCGCGGACATTGGAGCGGTCACGACGACTCGATGACGGACGTGGGCTCGCTTTAATCATAAGCCCCATAAAGCGTCTCATTACGATTAAATATTATGAAATCGAAAGTACACGGTCCACTTGTTCACGGCGATTTGCCGCCGAAAAATTCGCGCTCTCCATGGCGATGCGAATCGAATGTGAAAGCTGCGAGATACTTAAGCACATCGACAATCCGACAGCATTTTCTATCTGTCGATTATAATTAAGACGTGTATAACAGCGCAAATTGCATGTCGAGGATTATTCGGCTCGAGACGAAGCCTGTAGTTCATTCGGAAACGTCGCTCTCGCGAGAACGACGAAATCTTCACAAACAGACGACTCAGAGTGCATCGCCCTGAGGAGGGCGAGTCCACGGGAGCGCTCACTCACTCCCTTCGTCGATTGCGTCATGGAGCCGTACCGTTTCACACGTATTTCGAAATTGACGGCAAACAGTACCGTTGTCCGTTGCGGAGAATAGCCGAATACCGGCAGCAGGCGGACCATCGGGTGTCGTATCGATCGCGAGCACATCGACGACGTCTGGAATTTCAAACTTCTCAACTCGGGAGCTTCCCTAAAACGCGACGCGCGAGTACTGACCTGAGAACGAGTGAATTATTTATGAGATCCCGACTTTATGCACGACGCTTATTCTTTGTGAGGCGCGACAAGTCTTTCTCTATAATGATATTCGAGTTAGGAGGAGACCAGATCAAAGTTTGATACCTTCTTTGGTTCCTCTCGTGATGAGAGAAATATAGCCTTTCCGAGGTGAACAGCCCAAAGGTCCACGTGGGTCGCCTTGATTATTCATAGTCGTTTCGTGGATGCGTGTGAAGAGGCAACGGCGCACCCTTTCGTTCACTTTCCGGCGCTACATTACCATTATAGGCAAAGGGTATTGTACATTTCCATGAAACCGAACTCGCGGCACGACTTTCGCGGTTAGGCGAAAGAGAGACGATGATGTGTGAGAAGAGGAGAATTCCTCACGACCTCGACGCACATGATCATACAAGCAAGCCGACGATGAAGATCAGTCGGGGTCGCGGACTTGGTATAAATTTTAATAAAATCTCTCCCCCAGTTTAGGAGCGATCCTTCTCGAGGAGAGAAGCGCAGTGAATATGAAAAAAGTGTCGGCGAGAGCACTCGACCCCAGGAAAAGAGCCAAAGCTAGGAAAAGGGAGAATCCTGCGAAAGAAGGATGAGGATGAATGACAAGCTCTTCCTCGCGATCGATTCGTAGTGGTGAAATGATTGTTCCCGTAGCTGTAATATTTAACGTACCGTAACATCAGCTATAATACGATCGGTCAGAATCGTTCGACGCGCTCTATTAACCATCTCCAATGTTATTCTCTTTCAAGTTAATGTGGACGGAGCTCCTCCTCTCTTCCTTCGTCGTGAGCCCAATTCAGCACGGTCTCGTAACTTCTCAAGGCCACGGTGATTTAAGATATACGTAACTGCGACGTCGCCGCCGCCGGGTAACGTCGATTTCGTGAGACACCTGATGTATGTGGCAATGCTCCGCTTCCCGTCGAGATACTCGACGGATGGGAGCGATGGATTATACGTTTCCCGTTACCAGATTCGACCAGGGTCCCGTATCGGATTATGCAACGGTTCATAAAGAAGCTCGCACGAGCCGGACAGGTCGGAGCGATCGACCGGCGACAACGGTCGTCCGCGGGTAACGAGGACCTTGCATGAAAATGTCGCAATAGCGTTTTTTAAAATCTTTTTTTTTTCCTGAGAAAACTGTGAGGGGGCGTAAGAGCGAGTGTGAAAACTATCGCGACACATCGCGCGGTAGAAGAGATAACAAGCGAATAAATTCAACGAGAGAGGGAAAGAGAGAGAGAACGCTCGGCGAAACCGGTTCCTCCGCGTCCGCCGTAAAATTGGAGAATTTTTTGGCGAGTCTTCCGAGATATTTGTCGGAGCTAAATTATCCGGTTCCAGTCATGTAATTTGTAAACGTTCTCGCGTATGCTTATCGGTTTATCAAACGACGACGACCGTGTCCCGTTCGAAACAGATAGAATCCGATCATCCGCGGATGATGTCATCGAATCGGCGCGTTAAGACGCTTTGAAAATCCCACGCATAGAGCACTTTCCTCCCCGCGTCACCAGCGAGAGAGGCAAAATGCTCCCTCGTCGTCCGGCGAACCGGATACGACGTCTCGCATTCCATGTCGCCTTAAACGCGAAGAGCGTCGTCGCATTGCAGAAGGGGGCGGTGTCTCTTCGTGCTCATACCTGGACCGACTCTCCAACGAGAGAGACTGTCGGAGGCAGTTTCGCAATTCGATGCGATCACCGATGCAGTCCTCGTAGAAGCGCCGACATTCGACACTACCCCCCGCTTGCCCAGCCGCCGCATCGTTGACCTAATAACGAACAGAACGTGAACGTGAACTTTCGATGATGCGAAGCGTTCGAAACGTGAGAGGAAAAGTCCCATGACTGAGGAATGATACCTATGTCCTGGATAGCGAGTGTAATCTGTATCCAGCTCCAGCGCACGTGACAAAGCGCGAGAAGAGCGCATCGGGGATGAGAGGAACTCCATGAGCGCAGAAGAAGAAAATTTCAGCTTGTATAATCGAATGGGAACTAAACGAAAAACTCACTGACGAAAAGCAATATCTTTGTTACTGTGACCGGAAACATTCGTCTGAACATTCGGTTGCGTTAAAGCTCAGTTCAGATAACTCAGTGAATAACTGGCTGAGTAGGAATCTGATATGAGAATCTTTCTGTTCTTACAACAGAATCATTTTTCATCTGGAATCACCAGGTAACAGAAAATTCAATCATACCAACGGAGCTGTTCTTTGCATGCCTGAGATTTTCGTCAGGACGGTTTTCCCTGGACGCGGATTGCGATCCGCGACGCGGAGTGTTAGTCACCAAGGGCTGGACAGAGGAGCAGAAGGAGGGGAAGGAGACTCGTGTCCGTCTCAGTGGTGGATTCGACTCCGAGTCCGACTCGGACGAGTTAGGTAACAGCGTGGAGCCACCAAGGCAAGACGACCGACCGTCGCGGAGTCAGTCAGTCAGTCAGTCAGTCAGTCTCGCCAAGCTAACGGCGGCGATAACACCAACACGAGCACGGCTGAACTCGGGCTTCTGATATGGGATGCGAAGGACCGGCCAGTGGACCGAAAGAAGAGGCAATTATCCGCGAGACGGTGACGTGACGACGTGTGAGTGCAGCGAGCAGAGAAAGAGACGCTGACGAGCGACACACCGCGATGTCGAGGTGAGTTTTCCAGCGTTCCGAACCGAAATCGCTTCCTCGCCGACGGGGTGGGAACGCGGGAATGGGAAATGCGTGCGTAATGTTCGCACGATTGCAGGAACGATCGCTGATTTCTCCGATGGACTCGCGCGCGGCGGCTCGAACAATTTCACATTTAATACGTAGAATCCTTTCACGCATACCTGCGACCATCAGTCGCGACGAAAGGACATGACGATCCTTGAATCCCGCGGAATTCTGCCTTCGCAAAGAACAATTTATTGCGGAAGAGCCGAGTAGAAAGGGATTCCGAGTTCTTCACCGTTTTGAGGAATTAAAATTTAAAATGTGACTATTCTTCTCTTTCTCTCCCTCCCCGCTTCCACCGCCCCGTAAACAGCGAGAGAGAACTCATGTGCGAGTGAAGACTCGAAAGAGAAAATTATATCTCAATAGTTGGCTGAGATTCGCGATCGGAGTTCGATCGAGCGCAGAAAAACCGCGCGCGCGCGTGCGAGGTAGACGTTACCGCGATCACGATGTTTGTATTGCGTGATTCTCCGCAGTAAGCGAGCGACCGATTATGATTTATTAGCGGTCACTTTCTTTCTCCTTACGGTAACGGAAACCGCCCACGCACGCGAGCACGCGCCGCCGAACGAAGCATGCGCGCGGGAGATTACATAAGCGCGCGATCTTAATTACGATCGAATCACAATTCGAAACATCCTAGAATTTCTCGTGGCATAACGACGCGCAGCGCAAGTTGCGGAGCAACCGCGAGCGACCGTCGCGGCACACGACGGCGTGTGCGCGCCGTAAGACGAGTGACTCGGGTAATAACTGGTTATTACAATTTAACGACACGGAAGGCGGAGAAAGTGCATCTGGGGGCCGAAGAAAGTATAAAATCACGGTGAATAAATAATTGCGATAAACGCGTCGCTGAAGTGTCGCCGCCGCGGGAGCGTTTCGATCGCGGTCCCGCGAGACGCCGCTCATTAAATAAATAATACGTAATCTAATCCGTAATGCGCGCGTGTGTGTACGTGCGCTGCAATTCATCGCTGTGTGGCTTTTTTGTGTCATTTAAATAATAGCTCTCCATAAAACTTTGTATCACAGTCGTCCTGTGAAGCCGCAACACATCACTTAGGACTTACGTTGAGAGAAAAAATATTTAAATGAAAATATACTTATTAATAAATATTTCTTTACTTCTTAGATATTTTTTCTCAATGTAGTGACAGTCATTACCCAAAACTCGTCTCAAGTGAGATATTGATTTGAGTTTAGAGTTAGATGTGAATTTAGTCTAAAGTTAGATGTAATTTCAATTGCGAATATCATGATACACGTGACATTACATTTGCAGTTGCGATTTCATTGGGAAACTCAGATCTAATTTGAAATTCAGATCTGGATATCTCATACAAGTTTCAAGTAACTACTATTACTATTAATACGGGTTTCAGAGCTGTATTAATAGTCATTACTTGAAACTTGCCCTATGCGAGATACTCAGATCTGAATGTAGAGTTAGATTTGCGTTTTTTGCTTCAATCATATAATACGTGTGATACCATATTTGTAATCGCGGTTCAGCTGATAAAGTCACGTCTAACTCTATATTCAAATCTGTGTGTCTCACCTGAGGCAACGTTTCAGGTAACGATTATTAATACGGCCCTCAGAGTCGAAACGTCACACGATTGTTATGGAGAATTTTTTTTGTATCGTTATATATATATATATATATATATATATATATATATATATATATCACAGACGCACACACGCGCACATGGAGCGCGACGTAATTTTTATGACAGCTGAATGCGTAATAAAAAAAGGAAAGAGTACAAATTATGCAACAGTCCGCATCGCGCCGATTATCGTGGCGTACCTATAGCGACGAATGTCATCGCCGCAAGGCAGACAGCAGTAAGGACATATCGAGCAACAGGAATTCATGATGGCAGCGCGTGGTGATGATGGTGGCGTCGGCGACGGTGGCTTTCGATTGTGATTGTGATACCGGTGAATTTGTTGCATGCCTCTCTTAGAGGGCCGCATTCCTCTTGCCGAAACTGAATGATCGCGTTGTCGACGATACACTGGGTGTCACATGCACCCAGTGCATCGCGAGCCGCTTGCCTCGCGATTATCCTCGCTATCCCTGGTATCCATGGACACGCTATTTGCATAGAGCAATTGTTTGCGGAGGCGCGTTCGCTTCCCACGCGAATTCAGAATTCAGAACCCGATTGATAGTGCGTGGCTAAATCAAGAGAGAAGAAAAGAGAGAGATAGAACCGTCTTTATATATGAAATCATCACCACGTTGAGTCTCGTCGGATCTGCAAAATAATTCAATCGCTTTGATATCTCATCACAAAGAGTCGAGTTATTAATGAATAATCTATGTATATATCGGGTTGTGTAATAAGTGATTTCGAATTTTTCGGGTAAAATGTAACGATTGTATTTTGACGTCGTTATAATTTGTGAAACAATGCATGTGAAAAAATAGCAGATCATAAGTCAAAACGGCGCACACGGCATTTCACAAGATTATAATAACATAGAAATACAATTGTTCTATTTTATTTGAAAGATCCGAAATTACTGATTACACGAACCAATATTTGTACACGTGTCCTCCTTAATTAAATCAGATGCGCTCTTACATATGACGATATTAATTCGACCTTCTCGTCTCGAGATTATGAAATTTCGCTTTTGTCTCACGCGAGAAATGTCGCGATCAGCCCGACATGTTCGTTGTTGTCGCTGCCGCGCGCGCAGGATCGAAATTCCGAGCGAGCGAGAAAGTTCTGACGTAATTTGCACCCGTCGAGTATAAGCGCTAATTAGACAATTGTGTAATGAATACGCCGTGCTCGCGAGCGCGCATCGATCCTGCGCGGATCCCTCGTCGGTGTAATGCCGGGTGCAACGCGTGGATTCACAATCCAGCTCGTTTGTTCACGCTCAGGCCGTCAAGGCGATTCAACAACGCGCGGTGGTAATTACATAGGAAAAGGAAATTCATCTCTATTTCCTATTTTTTCCTGCACATGTCCACGGAAGGTAAGAGAGGGTAGCACGATTACTTCCAGGATACGAGATCCTTCGTGTTTCACAAGCGTCGCGTGGTTCATGAAATCGCTCGAATTATCTGGAAAGCGGAGTTACATCGGCTATACGTCGCGTTAACTCATACAACCCGGGAAGTCACTATAACGTTGCAGCAATTTTGTGAAATATCACTACAATTATTATTATCATCCACGTTTTCCATACAAATTAGTAAAAAAAAATAAATTTGAAAAAATATATAAAAACTTAAAACATCTTTACTAATAAAAATTTAACTTTAAATCAAAGTTTCAAAAATATAGATACACGATTATATTTGTTATACAAACTCTTTTAATATTTTAATATTATATATTTCAAAATTTATCCAAATAGTAATAGACATTTTGTTTGATGTTTTGACTTTTTTCTTATTATTATGTACAGAGTATGCACACAAACATTTTTTATTTTATCCAAACACACTGTATATTTTTGCATAATTTTATCAAAAATAAATAAATTTATTCGTGATTCTTAATGTGTGTGTGCAAAAAGATTTCTATTAATTAAGAAGCAAAAATTCGGGAAGCCACTATAGTAGTGCGACCGGTATATCATGTTTTTTACTAATCTATTTTTTAACGTATACGAAAAAGTCATACTTCAAAGAAACTGTATAAGAGTCATTCAAAAAAACCGGCCGGACTATAAGGGTTAACAATCGTCTTACTGTTGTATTGAGAGGACACAGCGTCAACCGCTGTTTCGGAATACAATTGAACAAGTTAGACGCCACGATAAAACCCTACGTCTGCTGGTAATTAACAAAACACCGCGGCGAGGGATAAACTCGCTTCGTGGCCGCGGTGGAAAGTCGCGGAAGAAAGCTCGTCCAGCAACAACACTCGAACGTCGACAAGAGCTCACGCGCTTTAATTGCTTCCTTGACTATCGCAAAAAAAAGAAAGATAAAAAGAAGACGCGGGATGCTGTTGCGTTTCCCCCAGAATCAACGACGCGTGTAATGCGTCCCGATTATCGTCGTGTAAAAATGCGATGCACGTTCGACAACGTCGGGAGAATCAAAAGAACACCGGTCGAGTCGGTCTCAACGAATGGTATCCGCGCTACACAACTAATTACAACTTAATTCCGTTACAACGTGATTCCATTTGTTACATATTGCGAATTGCAATCCTCTCGCAAATATTCCGCGTCTATCAACCGCGGCGTGGTCAACCGAACTCGTCGAAACGAAACGAGAAAAAGTAAATACAGAAAGAGAGAAGAGAAAAAAGAGAAAAGACCTTTTGCTTTCCGCACGCGCAACGCATTTTACACGACGACGATGGTTATTCTTATTCCGCGCACATGTCACCATCCCGGTCCCTGGTCCCACCGCCAGGGACAATGCCATTGCCATAGTGAAACAGTGAAAGTATGGTCATTTTGCTGGTTGTCGCTTTTGCTCTTCCCACTCGCTCTCGCACGCACGCATGCACGTACATACGCGCGACACACGTATCGACAGTTTTCGCGCTATCGCGATAGTCTCGTTTTGAATGCTGCGCCTCTCAAAGCTGTTTCTCTCCAGCTGACCGACGACGTGGCGCGCACGGTGAAACTATTACACAGCACGCGCCGAAGATGAAAGGTAACGCTCTCCGTTTTCATCGCGCGGTGACATCAACATCTGTTGAGTAATGAATTAAGTTAAATTGCACGTTTTTCGGTTCTTCTTCGCAGCGCGATGCGGACTCTCCTAGGGAGCATCATCTGTCTCCTGTCAGCGGCTAACGCAAGGACCGCGATAATGCCGCCACCCTGGGCCGATCCGTCGAGCAACCCTTGCGCCGCACAACCACGTGGCTGGCAGCTGCTTTATTGGCCGGCCGACGGGAAGTGCTACAAAATATTCCAGGCAGGTGCCCGATTCTCTCTTTCTCTCTATTTTTCTCCTATCGACAGCCACGTCTCGGTGAGATAGGCACGAGATAGACTTACGGCACAAGATCACACAACTGTATCGAAAGACTCGCACGATTTCTGACAACAACGGTCTTCATTACAGATCGGCGCTCCCTGTCCGGAAACTATGGAGTTGAGTCCCGCGGCTGGAGGAACGATAGCGGAGTGTAGGTGTCCTCCGGGGACCGCGCAGTCACCCCGGGACGCCCTGTGTCATCCGATATTCACGAGAGCATCCTGTGCGAAAGGCCAGTTCTTCGCGCCGGTACCAGACACGCCCGGCAAATTGGGGTAAGAAAAATAAGTCTTCCTTAATGTCATTCGTGACATTAAATCATGAGAAACTCGATGGAGACGTTCGTATATGCCTTTCTTGTATAAACTCGATGAATCCTGTTTCAGGTATCAACGGCGATGGGGAGTCTGCCGCAACCCCGAGCCTTGCGGTGAGCAAAGTGAGATCTATTGGCCCAAAGACGACAAATGCTACCCGAAGCTCAGTAAAGGACCTTGTCCACGCGGAGAACTCCTTGTTAGCGACGAAGACGGCTTAGCGACTTGTTCATGCTCGACGAGCGGCGAACTGGGCAGGTACCATTGGCTGGGAAACGGTGGCGGCTGCCATGAACACTACACGAAGGGCCCGTGCTCGGAGCTAGGAGAGCTGTTTCTCCCGGGTGGAACGTGCGGTTGCCACTCTCAACTACCTCATTATCATGAGCCGAGCGGAATGTGCTACCAGTTGGGTGAGTTATTTTTCGTGGTCTGTTTTAAAAACTAATCTGAGCTTAGACCGTGTATGTGAAATTGCAAATTTAACGTCTTTTTGACTTCCAGGTGGAGTCGGTCCATGTCCGCAAGGACATCACTTTGTGGTCACCACGGACGCCCGATCGACCATGCAAGAGGACGTGGTTCGTGCCAGATGCGTCTGTAAACCTGGTCACGCGTTGTATAAAAACGGACTTTGTTACAGACTGCACACGAAGGGACCCTGCGAGAACGGCTACATGCTAATCAACTCGTCTAGCTGTGTGCCAATACCCTGCAAACGCGGCAGACTATATTTCCCGCAAGAACGAACTTGCTACAAGATCGGCACGCGGGGACCGTGCCCGAACGGGCAGATAGTGCTGTATGACCACAACGTAAGACCGTCTCTCGACGGGATCAGTTATAATGGAGTGTGCGGGTGTACCAACGTCATGAGGAACGCGGGTAGATGCGTGGAGGATCAGAGCGACTGCGAGAGCACGCCCGGCATGGTGATGATCAACCGGACCTGCTATAAACTGTACACACAGGGTCCCTGCACCGCGGGCGAATGGTTAGTCGCACAGAGGACATCGAAAATCCGGCTTTGGCAAGAGGAACAACCACGACCGAAGGCTAAGTGTGAATGCCGGCCTGGTTATAAAAGGATTGTCAGCAGCACGGAGACATTGGAGGAGCTGGAGAGTAATAGTCTGATCTCGCCGAACGGCTGCCAGCCACCCGCGGTGAGCTTGGCGAAGTTTCTTAACGATAACGTCAAGTCAATCGTGATCTGAGCAGCTCAATAATTCGTACTTAGTACGTTGTAATACATTTGTAATTTCATATCTCACACGAAACGCACTTGTCCCATTTTCACACTTTCACGTAACACGCGTATGTGTATGTGATGTGTTCGAATGATAATCGAATTGAAAGAATGCTAGTGAGGAACTTAATTTTGTACATATATGATAATGTAGGGATTACTATTTCAAGTTGTTCATCTTATCACGCTTGAGTGGGAACGTTATTTATTAACTTATTAAGCAACAGCGAAACCTGAAGTCTCTCGAGAGACACGTGCCACTTATTCTCACACGAGTCATCGTATGTTGTGAATGGATGCAGACGTACTTACTCGTTTTTGTGCTGTAAGTCGCGAACCTGCTGCTGCATCCCTTCCATTTGTTGGTCCTTGTGCACCAGTTCTCGCTCCAACGCGGCGATCCTTTCTGTTTTCTCGTCCAAAGCCATCTGTAAGAATCACCGAATATAAGTGTTTTTATGAAAGTGCTGTTTGGAAGAAAGCGTTGAGTTTGTCTCGCTGAGTTAATCTCGCTTACCAATAATCGATCCTTCTCTTGATCCAAGAGTGTCATGCTCGAGCGCAGAGTATTAATTTCCTGTTTCAATTCCTTGATCTGATCGTTCAACTGCGTCTGTTGCTGCTCCATACTCCTGTTGCGGTCCATAGCTTTATTCAGCTCCGACTCCATCTGCGATACTTGACTCTGTGCATCTCCGAGTGCTTGATCCGTTTGATCCTGCAAAGTTCTGCAACGAGGAACATTCAGAGGGCGATATTAGTACACATCTCGACGGCGAAAATAGAATTGAGTGCGTTACCGTAGTTGAAAATATTGCGTTCGCTGCGTCATTAATTCCTGCTTGGTGCGGCGCAATTCCTCCTGTAAATCATCCAACTGATCCTCGAGACCGTTTATCGCTGCTCTCCTCGTTCCCTGAGTAACCAATAGATCTTGTCGTTCTTTCTCTATATGCTTCAAGCGATTCTCCGCCTCGACCAAACTCTCTTTGAGACGAAGCTGCTCGCTCGTGTGCGTCTCCGCCATCATCTACAGTCCGGTACGTCGCCCAATCATGCATTCACGACACACATGTATTCATATCCGACGCGACACGTTATTAATGGTAATTAGTAATATCGATTGTTATTTGTACCAATGGAGCACCGAACAAATGTATTTAACGAAGAAAACAATGTATAGTATATTAAGAGATTATGATATCAAATGTGTTAACTGGAAGTTTATTACAATGTATCAAGACGAGAACAACGGGAATCGAGGTATAAATGAATTGGTATAATGCCCAATTGATTTATTCACAAATTAATAATCTAAACGACTTACCTTTAGCCTCTCCCGCAATGCGTCGCGTTCTTCTATCAATCGCTCGACATCCGCTCTGGCTGTATCCCGCTCTCGCTCCAGACGTTCAAACATCGTCTGTGCAAAATCGAGAAATGAAACATGCATTGAAGCATGTAATGAACATTTCACTTACAAACTGTAATATGTAATCGTAAATACCTTTGTCATACTTATGTCTCCCGTAGCTATCGGCGAGCCGGACGCGCAGGTACAAATACGAATGGGTTTGCATAGACTACATGATCTGCAAGGAACACATGTTTGCCTGTGCTGACCTTTGTATGTTCGTAATCGTGCCTCCAAGTCCTCTTTCTCATGACACAGCTCCTCTTTCTCCCGTTGTGCTTTGCTCAACGCTTGCTCCTTGTCACCTAATTCACGTTTCAATTCACAGATCCGTGTCCACAGTTCAACCTATTTTATTGAGAAAGGAAAAGGTAGAACTATGATTTTTAGTATTTTATGATTTCTTTTAGATTTCATTCTCACGTTATCTCTTTCGGAGACTCTGCGCTGCTCTTCTCGGTAATTGATGTACTCCTTCTTATAGTGATTCCGTTCCGCTTCTAATCGCTGAATCGACTGTTGGAGCTGCAAAGTGAGCGTTACCTTGGCATCGTATATTTCAGTAATCGGTTGACATCCAAATAAAGACTTACAGACGCGATTTGTAAATTCGCTTCGTCGATCCGTCTCTGTATGTCGAGATTGATCACATCTTTCGTAACTTCCACGTCTTTAACCATCGCCTGATGATCCACGCCGTACTTTTCGCTTTTGTGGTTCTTGGACGCTAAAAAGAAAAACAGGTATCTCCAATATATTTCACCAGTAAGAGTTGTACATAATGATTGTCCTTTCAAAATAATTATTTTACAAAAATGCATGTATTTTATTTTCACTGCGTTCGAAAATCGGTTTATTGTTAATACCGATTTTTTTCTTCAAAGTTTTCATTCTTTATTTTGGTCATTCTTTTGCACCTTTTCTCTCGACCGTCCCTTTCATTATTTTGCATGATATTCATTGTATATATACACACACACACACACATGTGTGTGTGTGTGTTCTTCTAATAGTATGTTAGTATATTGCATAGTTTATTAGTATATTGCAATATTGTATATATTGCAATTAGTATATTGTATAGTTTATTAGTATATTGCAACTAAATGATACCTTGTATACAGCTTTCATTTTCTCTAGTCAGTCTTCCTATCTCATCGTTTAAACTTTTTTCTGCAATATTATTTTAAGCTTTTCACTTTCGACAACAGCAACCTAGATTATTAAAAGGAAAAAGAGATCGAAATAAAAAAAATCCTGACGTACCAATAATTGTTAGCTGATTGATCCTGTCGGTCATTTGTTTCTTTTCATCTAACGTGGAGTCTAAGGTACGTTGAATGTTACGTTTCTCAAGCCTGCATGCTTCTAGATCCGCCCTCAACTCCTGCACTTCTCTACGTTCTACAGTTAACTCGCGCTCTAAGACATGCACTTGCGTCATGACATCCTCTAATTTTTCCTATACGCCGTAAGTGCGTGAACAAATTATTCACTTTGTAAGAATATGTGAATATAATTACTACAATTACAATTGTTCATACCTGAAGCCTGCAAACTCTTCTGTTATTCTCTTTTACTGCAGAATTGCAATCCGCCTCTACAGCTAATGCAACGTGATCTATGTCTCTCAATTCTTTCTCTAGCTCTTCATTTCGCGTTGCTAATTTCATCGCCTGAGACATAGCATCATGTTGTTTATTTAGAGCTTCTGCATTATTTAAGAAAGATTGAACGTATGAAATTGATGTTCTGGTGAAAACTTAAATCAAGAATAAATATCTCCATTCCTCACCTTTCAGCTGCTGTTCCAATTCCAATTTAGTTTGCTGAAGAATCCGCATTTCACCAGTTTCCACGATGTTATCCGTAACACCAACTTTCCTCTCCAATTTTTTGCAAACGCAATCCTTGCTAACCGCGGCGTAGGAACGACCACCCTCCAACATTTTTCTCAGCCTAATTATTTCTTTCTCTTTCGTAGTTAACTGTAAAAGATATTTATTTTTTTAACAATCCATTAATAGGCAGTATTCATACTATCAAGGATATCATTACTTTTACTTCAATTAACATGTCAAATATTCCCTCGTGAGAAAGATATCAAATTAATGTATACATAACTAGATATTAATGCTTAGTATACCTGTTTCTCAAGAGTCTCTACTATATCAGTCTGTAGTAATAATTCTCCTTGTAATTTTGTTACTTCGTGATTCAAGCAGCTTATTTTGTGATCTGCCATGCTTATCATGTCTATTACCTTTGGCTCCACATTGCTCAATTTCGGTAGTGCACCACTGCTCTTTGTCTTTGGCATTGGCTCAGATTCTAAGACTGATCTTCGAAGAGGAAAGCTGGGACGCTTCTTAGCAGCTGTAAAAATTTGATTAAGACATTGTGTTACTTCAATATAAAGATTTTAGTGTGAATGTGATAAATTAATAGTGTTAATTACCTAGTCCAACATTAACTATAGTTGGCTTTAAGCATTTCCCTTGTAGTTCTAGTATCTTCTTAGATTTGGCAGCTGACTCACTCTCCAGTTCCTTTATTTTATGTATGTTACGCGAGGATGCCAATTGCAAATCATTGCACTCGTACTCTAACTTATGTATCTGCTTCTTGAGTTCCTTGACTTGTTTTTGATGTGCCTCCTTAGCCTCTATCAGATCTGCATGAAGCTGGTTGCATTCTCTCACTAATCTTGCATTATCACATTTGTAAGGATCAACTGTCAATTGTAGTTGACTGCATGCCTGTGTACAGAATACAGTATCATCATCAAAAGATGAAATATAACATTGGAAATAATTGCAATTACATTATTTGTCAATAAAGTGACACAACAGTGACTGCTTAAAGTTTTCTCACATATGAGACTTGCATGAAGTCAGGCAATGAAACTAACTTCAACTGTTGCCTAGTTCCTCATATTCAGAACAAACTTGGAATAATCTTGGAGATTCATATTGGAGCAATAGTATTGCTACAGCTTACCTCGACATTTTCTTGAGCAATAGCTTTAAAATGCTTGAGACTATCAGTAGTTTGAATAAGATCAGCTAATAGAGTCTCTATCAGAGGCAAAGTATCTAATGATAACGCTTGCTTGTATCCCAAGTTATCTAGATGTTTCCTAACTGTTTTGTATCTAGCAGCAACATTATGTTCTGCCTCCCCACTCATTCTTGCAAGATATATAATTCACAGAGTGGTGTTTATACAATTTGTCCATTAATTATTACACAAGAAATTTAATCACAGCATCATTCACTGGAAGTTGCAAAGTGTTAACCTCCTTATTCCATTGTTGTTGTGCTCACATTTATACGCATTATAAATAGTATATAAATCATATATTGTTATTAGATTGACACGAATACACACACACTGTCATCATAAAAATGACATTAAAAATATGCGACAATGTTGCAAAGAACAAATTGCTCCATATGCAACAATTATTTGAAAACAAGGAAATCTTTTCTTCATCAACTGTTTAGTCGTGTGCAAATTCAACACATACACTCTGCTTCGTTGAAAAAACATTTAGAAGAATTTGTTTATTCACGTTTCGATCAGCAGTAGAATTTGACGTTCGGATGCTCCCAGAGCCGTTTTAAACAGATTCAAAATTATTGCCAACTTGAATACTCGACTAGAGACTTGCTTCCGATGACCAACTTAAATTCGATTCCCCAGATGTAGGAAGGAACGAATCATCGCCGATCGCAGATGTCACATGGTGCATTGCAATGGCCAGCGCCTTCGTCGGCTGCACCGAGGGAAATCCGAACAAACCGAAACTTATTATTTTCAACAAAAAACACAAAAGAACATGTCGCGACGCGGTCAGGCGCGATTCCTGTTTATCAATACAGACGCGCACAGTGCGAGTAATCGACGAACTTCCAACAATCGATCCGCGGAGAAGTCGCGATCGGCGGGTGTTAATTTTATCGCTGATTGTTTTGTTTTCAGCTCGGTATTTAATGTCAATGTTAATTCACGCGGAAGATCATGAAGGTGAGGCAGCCAACGTCGACGGATCATTGTTATTGCGCGCGGGCGACAACGTGCACGCGTGTCTTCCTTTGAAATAATACGCGAGAGAACGGGCGAGTTTTCTTGACAGCGGACACGACTCTTGCGATTTTCCGAAATGTGCACGAACTTGGTCTCCGATCCTGGGAAAATCCTCTCGTTGGTCGAGCAGCTCTGCGATTTGTCGCATACGGAAATGCAACTGCGCTTAAATAGATACGTACGTATATATATGCAATTGCGAATTCTTAACTGAGTTCCATGCGACTCTTTTGAATGATCGGCACAACGCCGAATCGACGCGTCAGTTAGCCAATAGTAACATGATATCGTGAATAATCGCAGTCGTCTGCTAGCCGGTGAAACACCGGTCGATCGTGTTCTCTTTTCCTTTTCTTCGCAACGTTGATTGCTTAGTGTGTCTATTCTTCATGCTTAATTCGTTTCTTATTAATCCAATTTTGTTTGCTGCAGGTGCAGAATGAGACTAATGCAAAAATGGTTTTTCTCATATCAATATTATTGGAGTCAGAGGAGATGGTTATTCATGTGATAGGTGAAGAAGTTTTGGATAGAGAATTGAGATTTCCTGTAAGCTTTGGATCCTATAGAGATGAGCCGGAGACATTTTTTGTCCTTGAATACTTGAGTGATTTTAATTAAAATTATGTGATTAAAGTTAAATTATTAAAGCGTTCAGTAATAATAAAAAAAATGTCAATCTCTATCTTATATCATTTATATATATTTTATATCTTATAGGAAAGTTACTAATTTTTTATAAATTATACTCATTTATTATTATTATAATATAGTTATCCAAAAAATTTAATAAGTACTTTAAACTGCCTACATATAGCCACTTCTCTGATAAGACTATAAATCTAATAATTTTACCGTAACTCTATCAGTGATATCAGTGAGATAACAGACCATCCTTGTGTGAATTTTTACATGAGAGATACTTGACATGATTTTTATATGATGCATTTGCTATCAGAATAATGCAGAACATATGTATCTACTTACAAAGATAATACCTACTACATCATATTTTTTCCATATATACTATATAATTTTTATAAGCATAAAAGACATAAATTTTATTACAGATAAAGAACAATATTTTATATGAGGCTGTGGCAAATAAAACATCATTAATCACAAATGTTGAAAAACTCGATCAAGAGTTGTTAAGATATATCAATAAAATAATTAACTTGACATCAAGTGCCAGTTTTTCTCTCTTGACAATCCCAATACAACATCCTTTTAAGGATTATACAGCCTTGCTTGTATGCCTTGTAGATTGTATGAAATGTACAGATTGTATGGATGAAGATGAATCTAAACATGTCTCTACAGAAATAGTTCAGGAATGCTTTAGGTAACATTAATGCTGTGAGATGCTTGTTCGAATATAATTATTTTCATGTCAGATGCACTTTAAATAAAATTTTGCAGGTTCTGCCTTGGATACTTACTGAGCTCTTTGCGCTACTTTGAAGAAACACGAGTGAAGCAACAATGCCAGAATTTGCTAGCTGTTTCTAGAAAACTTTATACACATTTAGGTATGACTAGTTGCTTAAATATAATGATCAATCAGCTTTTAATTATCTTTTCATATATTCATTTAGGAGATTTACCTGATCTTTTACGTGAAATTATGGCGGAAGTCAGAAGATTAACAAATGCAGAAAGATGTTCTTTATTTCTTTTGGATCCTGACCAACAAGATCTGGTCGCAAAAGTATTTGATGGTCTTTCTACAAAAGAAGTAGGTAACATGTTAATTCAAAGAATTGATTTCACTATGAGTGGCAGCATTTTATAAACAACTACACTCTTAAATGTTTTCAGAATACAAACGAAATGAGAATACCCATCGGGCAAGGTATAGCTGGTCACGTTGCGACCAGCGGCAAATTGCTCAATATTCGCGATGCGTATAATCATTCCCTCTTCTACCGTGGGGTTGACGAATTAACGGGATTTAGAACTAGGAATATTTTATGCTTTCCAATACGAGATGAGAAAGGCATTATTGGTAAATTATTTACAAAAACGTCCTGAATAGTAAGAAAAAATGCGAAAATGTAGAACCCAAGTGAAACGTTGTTGTTTTAGGAGTAGCTCAACTTTGCAATAAGATGAATGGTTTATACTTCGATGTCTCTGACGAAGAGATCGCGATGGCGTTTAGTATTTATTGCGGTATATCGATAATGCATAGCATCATTTATAAGAAAATGCAGGATGCTCAAGGACGAAACAAACTTAGCAATGAGATAATGATGTATCACATGAAGGTAAATGTCCTTTGACTAACATTTCTCAATTAAATATAATAATTATGATGTGTCACGTTAATTGTGTGTACGTGTGTGTAATATGTCTCATAAATGTATATGTAATTGTTACGTGTTAATAAGAATTTTATTTCTAGGTAGAAGAATCTGCCGTGGAAGCCTTATTAAACTGCAGGGACGATCACAGCATTAAGAATTTCAACGAGTTTCATTTCAATCCAAAGAATGTGCCCTACAAACACATACCTTGTTATATCATTAAGATGATCACAGATTTATCTTTCCTTCAACATTGGAGGATTAAAATGTCGACGCTCGCGAGGTATATAGAAAATATCGGAGTGATGTACACGTTCCTGTTGTTTGTTGTAACGTTTAAATTTATCGATTAAAAAAATAACATTTCCCAGGTTTATACTATATGTCAAGAAAGGTTACAGAGACGCACCTTATCACAATTGGATACACGCATTCTCCGTGACGCACTTCGGATATTTACTAATAAAAAATATGCAGCTTATCGAGGAGAACTATATGACACCTCTGCAGGCTCTGGTGTTCCTTGTGTCGTGTCTATGCCACGATATAGACCACAGGGGAACTAATAATACCTTCCAAACCAAGTGGGGAACTATATTGGCGAGCCTTTATAGCTCGGAAGGCTCTGTCATGGAGGTAAGATGGGAATGTCATCTTGCTTAAAATAGCTACAATTTAATCACGATTAATTAGATCGATTTTCCGTTCAACAGAGGCATCATCTCGCGCAAACAATGTGTATCTTAAATACCGAAGGTTGCAATATATTCGAAAATTTCGAGAGCAACGAGTACGGTGAAGTCTTGGACTTACTGAGGAACAATATACTCGCCACCGATTTGGCCTCCCACTTTCGTAGTAGGGAAAGGCAAGAGGAGATGGCTCACGATGGATATAATAAGGATGACCTAAGGCACAAGAAGCTATTGTTTGAATTGCTTATGTCTTGCTGCGATCTTAGCGATCAAACCAAGGATTGGAAAGTCGTAAAGAAGACCGCGGTAAGTTCTATATTTGTTGACGTTCGATTTACGATTTTGCAGCGGCAATGATTATAGATATATAAGTGAGTTCTATTCTTTTATTCAGGAGGAAATATACGACGAATTCTTTACACAAGGTGATCTAGAGAAAAGCATGGGCAGCGCGCCTGTCGAAATGATGGACAGGGAACGTGCGTCTATTCCCGATCTCCAGATACAATTCATTACTAACTTGGCCATACCTATCTTCACGTAAGTATATATATATATATATATATATATATATATATATATATATATATATATATATATATATATATATATATATATATATATA